TTTAAGTAACCAGGCCAATGTATACAGTAAGATTTATTATCGGAAAGTCTGTCTTCGGAATCTGCTCTCCACTATTACAGTATATTTTAAGCACCATATTATTTCATGAGGGCAATCCAACTGGTATTCACAACAATCGTGTTTTTAGGTTATAATGATACAATGATATAATAGAACAGAGTGAGAACTATGAAATCATTTGCATAACTAAGTTTGCCTATTTTATTCTTTGGACCTATAATCCACAGCAGGAAGCCTTTTAAAGCAAGCTTTGTTACATCCATCCAAATTCTATGAATGTGAAAAATAAATTCAGGAGGCATTTAGCCCTGAAGTTGTTTCTCTTCAGTATGAGATGTGAGGTGTATTTTCTTTGGTATATGAGATATGAAGGAGGGAGAAATGGTTAAAAGAAAAATGAAAGGAAATGAGTAAGTAAACTGTTTTTGAGTCAATTCTCCCAAAAATTCATACTTCTTAGAACTTTGAGATAAAAACAAAATAACAAGTCAAGGAACTGTTGTTTAGACTTAAGAGAAACATAACATGGGGAGTAAGTTATATAAAAAAGCTAGGTCAGTAGGCTGTGAATATTGTGAGCCATCAGTGACAGGCTTTAGAGTCAGACAGAGCTGAACTTGAATCCTGTCTCTATGACTTAAATAAGCTGTGTGACCTTTGAGAGGTGCCACCCATCTCCAAGCTTTGAAGAAAGTCTACTATGTGGTAGATTAATAATGATAATTAAATGGAGCAAAATGCAAAGTATCTCGTTAGCCTCATGCCACAAAGCATATGTTTATTAAATGTGAAAATAGTTTTATATCCTCTCCTTCACAGAAGCAACAATACAATCAAAGAGGGCTATCCTGGGGACTTCAAGGATTAAGGGAGCTTCACAGTGGGATCATATGGTCAAAGTTTGTCAATATTTTTAAGATTCTTGGTTATGTTGGCCAAAGTACAACATAAAAGCAGTTGTACAATGCAAGCATTATATTTGCAATTAAAAAGCCTTATTTTACTTTGCCTATTACAAATGTTTACAATATTGACTTGACTCTAAGAAGACAATGAGACTGGATATTTAACTATTTGTATTAACTGAATCTGAAACATGAATATATCTCTATCTCTGAATCTTAATCACTTTCATCAGGTCCTTTTATTTCATTCTCTAGCTTACTGAGGCTTCATTCAAAATTTTTTTGAATTAATTTCAGATAAATTAGAGATAAGAAATTTAGATAAAATTTTGATTTTGGTCATTTGTGTACATTTCTTATCAGCTACTCCAGCCGTAACTCTTTGTCCTCTGAAACAGGATCTGCGCTTCCTCCATGGCGTCTGCCACATGGTAGACAGTAATGACTGAATGAATGAATAGATGAAACATGTTATTTGCAATTTCATGTAATGCAAAAATATTAAAGTTTTTGAAAATGTAGCAATTGCCAAATATCTAGTTAATAGGTTAGTTTAAAAATTGTCACAGCTGTAGAAATACATGGTAGGAAAAAATTAGAAAACAATAAATTAAGGGTCAGTAAGTAAATAAAGGAATTTGAATAGAATAATGCTAATTTTCTTGTGAACATTTTTATAAATGAATACATGAGTTTTCCATATTTTCACAAATAGTATAAATATATATCTTTTTAGAACTGCATGGAGCAGGAGTGGATATAAAATATTTGCAAATCTTCATTTTTAAATTATGATACAGCTTTTGCTCATGCAAGTAAAGATGTACAAATTTTCCAGTCAATAATCACTAATTGAGTTCCTACAGTGTATCGTGCAAAATCCTACAGATGGATGAATAAAACTTTTCCATTTAAGACATCCACTGGCTGCCAGGGAAGACTGTCACACACAAAGCTGCAGTGAAAAGCTGACCATGAAAAGTGCATTAAAGAGTTAGGAACAAAATTAGTTAAAGGCAGGGACTATGATGAACACCAAGCCGGAGGAATGCCTAAGAGATTTCCAAAAGAAGCAGCCTTTGTGTTGAGCCAGAGCCTCCTAGAGTGACATGCTTTCTATGCAGAAGAAGAGGCTGTTTTTTGGGGGGGCTTTTTTTTTTTTGGTATCATTAATCTACAATCACATGAAGAACATTATGTTTACTAGGCTCCCCCCTTCACCAAGTCCCCCCCACATACCCCTTCACAGTCACTGTCCATCAGCGAAGTAAGATGCTGTAAAATCACTACTTCTCTTCTCTGTGTTGCACAGCCCTCCCCGTGCCCCACCCCCACACTATACATGCTAATCGTAATGCCCCCTTTCTTTTTCCCTTATCCCTCCCTTCCCACCCATCCAGAAGAGGCTGTTTTTTATATGGCCTGTTTGTGCAATTCTTTTGGCATTTGTTGCCAGCTCCATGTGGCCAAGAGGTCCAAACCAGCATATCTTAACACATCGTGCACAAGAGTCTCACATGCAGGAGGCCCTCAGTAAGTATTGGTTTTTAACATCTGGATGAATAAATGACCAAACTTACAGAGCCTTCTTAATATGGGACAATAATTTTCAAATAAAAAATTATACTTCATTAATGGTTGATTTCTTTACCTGATTACCCCTCTGCAATTCAAAGGAAAATTTAAGCTTTGTGAACTCTGATTAACGTTTATTTCACCAAATTTTAGGAAAATGTAACTGTGGCCTTTGTTCCTAGCATTCTGCTCTTTTCTTGTTATACTTAATTTCTAGACTTTCATTGGTTTGTTTAGATGCATGAGTTCAAATACATCCTTTTGTTTTTTTCAGTCTCAAATGAAAACTTCCTTAAACTGATGCTATAGGGCTGCTTATATATGAAGTAATATTTGGGTTGATGTATTTTTTTTCTTCTTTAGAAGCTAAACAAACTCATCCTTATTATACACATTCCACATTCTCCAGTTAAAAACCTACAACACAATGATAGAGAATAAGCATGAATTTCCTATTGGAAAGTGTCCAGTAATACCTACAGCAATTAACTAGGTTTCAAGGAGAATGTATTAGCACTTGTGCCACAAATAACCATTGGGTTATTTTAGTTAAATGACGGTTCCAGCTAATTAAAATTTGTCACTGGTTTATCCCCTTTTACTGTTCTTTCTCCTTTAGATTTAACATGTCTTGGAGTATAATTCCTTTGGTTCCCTCCTTTCACAGATCTTTCAAAGACAAAACAAAACTCATTAGAACATGACAATCCCAAAAGGAAGCTGTAAGACTCAAGAGTGTGATCACAGCTACCCTTCTAAGATCCCAATCTGAATATCATGTTCAACAGAAAAAGCACATGTTTTACTTTTGCAGTTCTTCAAGAAGGGTAATAACAATACTACATATTTGTTGTTTTATTGTAGAGGATCTTCCTGATTCCCAGAGCAACGTGGAGAGAGATAAGCAAGATAGGCAAGATAAATATTTCCTCCCTGTTTGATAGGCAAGGCTCAGCCATTTACCTAAGGAGAAAGAAGATGACTCCTCCAAGTCAACAGCTGATAATGGATGAGCTGGAACCAGAACTGAGTGCAGTGCTTCCGCCTCTGTGTTACAATGCCTTTAGGACATTTTTTTTCCTGGGTTACTTGTAGGCTATGAGAAAATGTGAGAAACAAAGGAAAGAGAAGAGTGATGAAATTATTTGAAAATTAATTTAAATGATAGCTAGCATAATGTTGCTGTCATTGGGGAAAAAGTACTTTATTTGAGATTCATGGTGAAATATTTCCACTTTGTATAATGATTGGGTTTTAACACAAATGTAAAGTTCTGTGGAATTTGGACTGGAAAGGGCATGCCTTAAACCATGAAATCCACTGGGAAAAGTCATGATCTCTGCAAGAATTAATGGGGTGGGAGGAATATGTGGGGGAAAATGGTCAAACTAGATGGGGCCAATGGAATTGGAAGGAAGAGTGAGCTGTGGGGACATTGTGAGCCTGCAGTAGAGAGAATTTGGTGGCCAAGAGAGTGGACAGAAGAAAACAAAAGATAGCACAGAATTTTCCTGCTCTGCATAACCCTAGTACAGTTAGACAGCACATCCATACAAGCATTGATACTACTGGCCCACACTTTGTAGAAAAAGGAACAGATTATCTCTATAACATGAAAGAAACATGGCCCTCCCATCTAGAACCATTAAGAATTTGTATGTGCTCAAATACGTAGACTGCCCAAGGGATAAGGGGCCTGGTTACTCATCAATTGTAGCCATCCCTGTCAGGAGTATGTGTGGAATGGAAAGTAAGTTGTTTTTGTATTATTAGTTTTAAAATGGGGGCTTTTAACTTATAAATACCTAAATGGATTTGAAGAGGAAAAGCATGCAAATGGGCTGGATACCTCTTCACAGCAAATTTTCAAGTAGCCTTGTGATGCTCAAGCAGTACATGTGGGCTGAATTTTATTAGGTTCATTTTCTCTTCCAGAATTCCAGTCAACATATTATATAATTGAAAATAACGTCCTTGCTCCTTGGCATTGGAATTCAAACGTGAACTGCTGCAGGCATTTATTGCTTTTGAAATCACACATTTGAGAAAGGATGTCACTAAGCTAGCAAACCTGTTTTCAATGGAAATTTGGAAAACTGGAAAAAACATAAATCTTGCTATATTGTTGATTTTGCTATTTAGTAAGAATGTCCCTGACTACTCATGTTACACAGTGTTAGAGAAAACACAAGAAAGATTGCTCAGAATACAATTAATAGATTTGAATGATGAACAAAATAATAAAAAGAAACAACTCCTCATTTATAAGGGAGTATTGAGCTGCTTAGTCAAATAAATTTATCCTCTTCCTGCTACAAATCACAAAAGTATAAAAGAAAAAGAAACCAGAATGAGTAATGAAAAATAACAATGGTGTTTTACATCGGTGTGGCATTTTGTCATTAACTTAGATGTTATTGCCCAAGGAAACATTTGTTCTTTTTCAAAAGGGACAAGGAACAAGAGATGCTAATCTTTTCTCCCCCTTTGTTCCTTCAGGGGTCAAGGTATACTGAAAAGGTATTCCATCAAGAGAAATCTGGGGGAAGCTGGAAACCATCAAGTTACTGAGGCCACACAGGGAGCAGAAAGGATCGAGGTAGGTACACTTTTGATCCATTGATCCTACTATTGGTCCCTGAAAATACTTTTGTTGCTATTAAGACAGAGGGCAGCAAAAGAAAGGTAGGGTGGGAAGTCTTTATTTTAGCAATAAATATATTTAATCAAAGCTTGATAGAATCTGTTGTTAATGTCATATTAATAGCAAATAATGTGTGCTGAAAACTTGAGATACACATTTCTATCCTGTGTCTGCCAGGCACTTGTTATCAGTGTAAAGACAAGCTTGTTTTCATATATACTTTCTTAGCTGTGCTTATTTAAATTCTTCTCAGCAGAGGTAGTCAGCCCATCAAAATAATGCTTTATACTATAGACCTTATAACAGAAGAGAAACTCATAATATAAATTTACTGCTCTTCTGATACTAATCTCAGACCACCATAGCAATACATTTATAATTAGTATATACAAACAAATTCTTGTTGTCACTGATTGGTGGTTATAAATCTCAAATACTTCTTTGAGAAATGTTTCTGTGTGCTGGTGCTATAGATCTCTATATATCCTTATATATAACCTATCTATTTCATATACATAGCTAACATATATATTATATTCATTTGTAGTTGAATATGAATATATATAGATTTCTGTATATACTGATCTGTAATATACTATATATACTGTGCATGTACATACTACATTCTATATATTCCATGTATATATGTGTGTATACTGTATACATATTAAATGATACAAATTGTGTGTCCTTTAAAAATGAGGCTATGTTCATGTTGCAATCTTATTATTATTTCACAAATAGAATAAAAATTATCTTCTATGGGTAGGATTTATATTTGGAGCCACTTCAGTCCTTAAATGCTTAGTTCTCCCACCCAGTGAGAGAGACTTGCTCCCTGACTGCAGCTTAGATGGCAGATCAGAGAAATGGAGTGAGCCTCCACCAGTGTGAAGGCTCCAGCATTCTCCCCTCACTCTTGGATTCCCATGAGAACAAAGCTCCAAGGGAACAGGAAAGAGTAGGAGATATTAAATTTGATTTAGTCTCGTCGCCTGGTTTTCTCAAAACCAGTACAGTGTTCCCATTACTTCACAGTGATTTCATTTGGACAGTGGCATTGGGCTCATCTTCACGGGTCATCAGAGCATCTTTACCTTCATGTCAACTTTTAAATTTATGTCATCAGAAATAATACGTCTTAATCGAATCTACTTTTTATTATGAGGTAACTTCACACAAATAATTTTATCAAAGACATATTTCTACATAAATGCTAAACTCTCCATGCAAAAAACAAAACAAAACTGTAAACAATTTTGTATATAAGGAAAATTAAAACTAACATAAAATAATATTTATATAGTCTTCATTATGGGTGGAGTATATAGTGATTTATAAACATAATTACATGCATCCCTTACAGTAACTGTGTGACGAAGGTAAGGAAAATATGGCGATTTCCTAAGGAAAAAGTGCACCTCAACAAGTGCACACAGCTACCAGGTGGTGAAGTTAGGATTAAGCCTAAATTTGTCAGATGCTTAAGTTATGTTCTTGGATAGGAGTATTTGGAAGGAGGCAAAATATTGTTTGAGCAAAATTTCTTATTTTCATCAGGTATTTATAATTGGTGTTTGAAAATACATATTTTTAGGGAACACATTATCTCATACTCTATGAACTCTATGAAAGAGATGAAACATTTCTCTGATTCATTTAATAAAAACATAATACTAAAAAAAATTTAAAAACTGATAAAATAGCACACACACAAAAAAAATCACAAAAAAGTCACTGAAATACCAGATATAGGAACGTAGAAATCAATAAAATAGAATAGTACGACAAATGGTATTTATTCTAAGAATTTACAATAAGTGGTTCAATATTGGAAAATTTATAATAATTTCAGTCATAGACTAAAAATAAAACCCCCTTTTTTTGCTTCCTGATAGGTTCTAAATCACATTTGAAAAAAGCAAGTATATTTCTTTTGAGAAAACACATATACGCATAGTAATTTAGTAATTTAGGGCTGTTATTAAATTGTGAAAGAACAATTTCAAGAAAACAAAGAAGTGTTAGAGGCTTACTTATTACATGCCAAATTTCATCACTAATAATTAATATCATTCTACAAATTCACCCAATGCAATAGATTTAAAAATATTACTAAAATTAAAAAATTTCTAATTATATGTGCTAGAAACTTTTCTCACTCTAGAGATTAACTCATTTATCTTCACAATAATCCTATGAGATACTATCATTCTCATTTTACAAATTAGGGAGCTGACGCCTGAAGAAACTAAGTAACTTGGCCAAGGTCACACAGCTAAATAGAGAGCTGAATTAGAACTCAAGTTCTTAGTTTAAGTCATGAATTTTTAACCTTAAATAATATGGTATGCTGCCTTTCAAAGGTTAGAACCGTAAGAAAAGAGGTGAAATCTTTTCTCCTAAGAAGTAATTTTTAATAAATTCTCAAAAAAATCAACTGAAGAACTATTAGAATAAGAGACTTCAGTTAAGTAGCCATACAAAATATAAATGTGTAAAAATTTATTGACTTTTCTCTGACAGCTACAAATAGAAAACATGATGAAAAGAATCATTTTTATAATGGCAATGAACTATGAATAAACAGTATAAGAAATGTATGAGACTTAAGTAAAGAAAATAATGTTTTGTTGAGAAACACAAAATAAGATGAACAGTAATGGAGATTCATATTTTATTCCTGGCTGAGACTAAATATTAGAATGAGGTTAGATTCCTTAAATTAATTTTAAAAGTTGATGCAATTCCATTTAAAGCCACAAAGAGATTTTTAGGGAGAGGGTGGCAAAGTGATTATTAAAATTCATATGGAAGAATGGACAGGATGGGAAAAGCAAATTTTTGAAAAATACAAATAATGAGGAAGGAACTTCTAATTCCAAGTATTAAATAATATTACAAGGTTACAATTACCTAAATCAGTGTGTTATATTTTACTAAATTAGACACTTACCAGAACTAAACCAGCTTGAAAATTCTCTGGATTTAAGCATATAAAGGTAATATATAATAAAGGCAATTTCATGTTGGTGGAGAAAATACTATTACATGAACACAATTCCAATAATTTGTTAATATTAGGTAAAATTGTGTGGATCTTTTATTCATACAATATACAAATAAATATCAGATTACTTAAAGAAGAAAAAATAATGAGACATAACTAGAGGAAAATAGATGGGTGGATGATTTTATAATCTTGTCTAATAAGATCATCAAAAGCAGAAACTATAAGTGAAGATTTATAGACTTGAAAATGAACATATTAAAACTTCAGTACATATAAACAGAGAGAAGACTATAGCAGCATTCCTAATGATGTGTTTGAAAATTCTTTCTTGATTTTCTGGAAGGATAGAATTAATAAATCACCAAGTTCTGACTAATATTTCAAATACACTACCATTTGAAGGCTTAATAAAGCAGCACCCATCCTGGAATAGTACTCATTTAGTATTGTATCCACTGCAGACACAGAGCATCAGAGAAATTCCTGTTAGCTAAAAATAAGGATGGAATTCTATGGAAGAGCAAACAATGATGTAAAAATTAGTATTGCTCTGCTTAAAAAGGTCAACTAAGTTTGAGTTATAGCATCCAAGAGAGCAAGAGATTTCAATTAGACAGCTTTATAATTCTTAACATGTGCCAGAGCATTTCATTTCAGTAGAAATCATTTACAACATCATTGAGTCATGTCTGAATTTTTATAATATGTTAAAATGCTATCCCTAATAAAAACGAAGCAATTCCAGTTTTCTGTCTTGAATTACACAGTGGATCATTGTAGAGAAGTGACACAGTGATAAAATTTGGAGAGAAGTGTTTTCTGTTATATTGAAGAGTAAGAGATTGTTTTCTCCATTTCCCTCTAGAGTAGCTATGCACCTTCAGAGCATTCCTAGAGCAAGTGGGAAAGCAAAGTTTATTGTGATCAATGAACAATGAAATAAAGGAAAAAAAGTTTTATTTCAAATATTCCAAATGATATCAGCCCAGACTAAGATAATCAATTAGCACTAACACTAACAAAATAGTAATTTTCTGTTCTGGGTTCTTTAGAAAAATTACTAGACTCTTAGCCCCAAATAGCTCTTGAGAAAGAGTAACCAGCAGGCCCATGAACTTCCTAGTCTTTCTGTTCACATCTAGCCTCTCTTGATAGCTCTGGTCAAAGTGCTGACCCCTGGCCTCTGCTCTTCCGCGTGAGGTCACCGACATGCTCCAGGCCCTTCTGCTTGGGGTTACTCAAATGACACAGACCCCTCCCCTGCCCCTTTTCCACCCGTGCTGCCCTTTTGTTTCTAAGTGCAAACTGCCCAGTGTTCTGCATTCAGCTACCCTCCCCCTCCTTTCTAATGGGACCATTTTTCTTGCATCAGGTTTATTTCTTCAGCTTTTTTTATCCACCAATTCTAAGAGGTTTTTTCCCCTCTGACACTGGGCTGGAACTGTTAATAGGTAGTCCTTTCTCAGGAAACTTAGAATCTGGGGGTTGGCTAACAGCCATCAATGTGTCCTTCCTATAAGGGTTTTAAGTACTCATGAAGTTAGAGCCTTGGCTGATCCATCCTGCTGGTTCATGAGACATGCCTGAATCTAAAAAAAAGAAAAACAAAAAAGCTTAAACCCTACCTCTATTACCTCTGCTAAATAAATATTGTTTTAAGTAAATGTTTTTATTTGTTCATAGATATACAACTAGTATATGTGTTATTGACCATTCTCAGAAAGAGACCTGGAAGTAGCAAAAAAAAGAAGTTGTATAAAATATTTTCTGCTCATGGGTAATAGAAGCAAAAGACAGGCTTAGCCGTTTTGTGTTAAGTAAGAGTAACAAAATCAAACAAGCACAGCCGTAGGATAAAGAAAGAAACTCATTCATTTTCATGCTAGCCAGACTGTCACTTTTTGAAGACTGTTAAAAAGCTGTTTGTAAGCAGTCTGGAAAG